AATGACTTTTTCTCTTTCGATATTCATATGTAATAAATTGTAGCTTCTAGTCAGAAACAAATAAATTTAAAGTTTAAGAGAAACTAATTATTTTAGTCCGTATCCACACAATTATTGCATACACACCCACACACTTAATACACCAGATTCATCAGTGATTACATCTAATCACTTCTTGATTCTACTATTGTTGCCACCGATACTTATTGTCATTACCACACATATCAACCCCATTTAATTTACACATCTTCTCATGTCTTTCTGCATTGATAGAAAATCCAACATCCACATTTAGAATGTCTCGACGGTGGCCACCGGAGTCAAAGTCGTGGCTGCTGCAGGATTCTTCATCGCTTCGAACCGTGGCTCCTTGGGCTGAAACTTGACTCCGGCATAGAGTTTCATGTAGTCGTCAAACACAAAACTTGGGTACTCCGAGTCTTTCTCCACGAGAGATGTTGCCGGAAAGATCTCTGCATCGTTTCCGGGGTTGTAGAACGATGCTACAGACATCCTGTTTCCTTCTTCTTGTGTCAGCACACGATGCATTATGCTCTTGTACTTCCCGTTGGTTATCACCTACGCGCACAATCAATGAGGGAGATAATCCGGTTAAACCTAAACCAATTTACTGATTCATATCGGTTTCGCAATTAGATACTATTATAACCAGAAACAACTAAGATATAATAAAAAAATAGCGAATACCCAAATAAACTGATTAAATTCCGGTTTTAGCTTCCCTCAAAATCATTAACCGGGAGTAAACCAAAAACTAAATAAACTGAATAATTTACATTTGTACCTCAAGTTGGTCACCAAGATTGATGACAATGGAGTGCTTGAGAGGAGGAACATCAACCCAAACACCATCTTTAAGAAGCTGAAGACCACTGACCTTATCATCTTGAAACAGCAATATGAGGCCTCCTGCGTCTGTGTGAGCCCTTAGCCCTTTGATCATCTCCGGTTTAGGACATGGTGGGTAGTTGCTAACCTTTGTCGCAAAAGTTGGACCCTTGGTCCCATGAAACGCCTTCTTCAAGTACCCTTTCTCCAACCCTAGATTCTCACACAACAGATCCAACAGTTCTTCCGCTAGATTCTCTAGCCTCTTCCCAAAATCCTTCATCGCCGACCTGTTGTTAAGACACATGGAAAGCAAAATCAATATTGGTTTTCCCAAGATTGAAGCCTGAATCGGTTTTTGTGTGTGTACCGGTATTCGTCAGACATATCAGGGATATCGTAGAGATTAGACTGGGGGAGATAATGGAGGTAGAAAGTACTTTCCCAATCGACATCTTCGACTTCCTTCTCGAGAGGATCTAAACCTTTGGAACGAAGCATTTCTTTGAACTTTTGTTCCATGAATTTCTTGTAGTGTTCCTTTGTCACCCTCTCCACTTTGTCCATTAGATCATACGGTACTCCATGGTTTACCAACTGAATTTACAAAATTCAAGAATTTGAATGACCCATTTCATAGAGTTAATAACAATAATTTAAAAGTAAAGACTCAGAAAGAGAAAAAAAAAGAACAAGAGAAGAGAGAGACAGCATAACCTCAAAGAAGCCCCAGTTTTGACAAGCATCGTCGATCAAAGCCATGGTTTGGTCTCTCTCTTCACCATTGAGCTTAGACAAGTCTACAACCGGAAACTTAGTGTTCGTCTCCATTTCTCTGGACCCTCTCTATGAAAAGTTTATTGGCAAATGTGAGTTGAGGAATTGAGAGAGGGTCGCTATTTATAGGCGCAAATAGTAAAAACAAAATATCCTTAATTATATAGTAATACTAATGATAATATTATATAAAACGATAGACAGGTATCAGAAGTTTATATAATTGTGTCATTCTGATAACGTTACTATTTTTTTTTATTAGAAAAAAAGGAGTTTGTGAAAGTTGTATGTGTGCAACATAACTGGCGGGACCCTACTTTCTTCCTTTTGAGTTTTGAGATGGGATAAATTTGGTGCTGTCCATTTTGATCTCTAATTCTCGGCAATTATATTTGGTTTTTCTTTCACTTTTTGTATAATGCTTATCGTTGTTACAAAATCAAAGAAACACTCGAATTCTTCTTATATGGTGCTTTGCGGAGTCATAATATGCAAAATTAGGGTTAGGGATGATATCTTTTTCAACAAAAACATATAGAAATCATTTGAAATGACTATCTACTTAATAATGCATATATTCTAAAGAATTATTTTGCAAAGTATTATTTATTTGAACCTTTATGTAATAATGGGTAAGCTATTTCAAAATAATCTAATATGCATACAAATTTTCAGATTAGCAAGTCGAGGATACAACCCACATATCGAGTGACCTTTTGTCTTTTTGAAAGCATATTTTATATGGTAGATATCAACAGATCAGAAAGGATCATATCTTATTAAAATGTATATTATAGCACCTCTCGAATATTTTATATAAAAGGGCTGAAAACCGCTATATTTCATACAAAAGTTGCTGCCTGATATAAATCGATCGATCACTTTCTCGTTATGGTCCTTATGGATGTTGGTGAATAGGTATCATGTATATAACAATTAATGTGAAAAATAAGATTTGACTTATAGCACTCCTAGAAAATTATAATGACACGATGAAGTTTATTATTTTTTAATTTAACTGGAATTTGCGGTATGATAATGTTATTTTATAACTTAACTTAGCTATAAAATAATTGTGTAAATACTAAAAAAGTTGAAATGGTAAGCTCATCATTTTACTCCATTGATTAAAAACTTTACCTGAAAACTTAGATTTTGGTCCTTTTGAATTACAAACAGACTTGGTTAATTTTGGGAAGAAAAAGAAGATAAACCTGATCCTATTTTTTTGTCTTTCCCTAACTTTATCATTTATGAGGTTTTTGTTCGATAGCATCGGTTGGACTTAGCCACCTAATTACAATAAGTTATCTTTGGATTCCTCTAAAATATTAGTAGGGGAAAAAAATTCCTCCATAGTTTTTCAAGTTTCAACAAATCAATAAAATCTCCAATCAGATGTGCGGTAAGAAAAGCATACAATATGGAGTATATCAAAGCTATAGAATATTCCCAAACTCACTAAGAGGTAAAATATAAAAATAAGTTTGAAGTGATAGTGCTTTCTCTCTTGCTTTATCGAATGATGCCCCTGGAAAATAAGAAAAGTGACACAAAATGTTATTATTTATTTCAAGTTGTAATAGTAAAAAGAAGAAAGTCGATCTTTATTAATAAGTAATTAATATTTCTATTAAGTAATAAACAATAAATTAATCTTTGTCTTTCTCGTATCTTCTGAATACTTTGACAACAAATAATCAGAAGAAAGACATTCGGTCGGTGGCTACTGCTACCTACTTTTTCTTTGGTGCATCTTAGCAAAGTTGTTGAGATATATGATGATAAAACCGTGTAAAATATTAGTTACTCATATTTCTTTTCGACAAAAACTAAAAACTAATATAGTTATTTTAAAAAAATATAAAATCTTATTAGAAAGAAGAAGTTACAAAATTGCCTTTACAGGAAGGAACATTTTTACAAGGAAACACATTAATGGAGGAGATGAACAGTTGAAGCTCATTAATTTGAGTCTTCTTCTTTGTTGTTGCATGTCTTGATTGACTCGTTGGTGAAACTAATAACTTATGGGGCTTAACTTACATATTTCTTGCATTTTTCCTTCTAAATCACACTAATGCTTTTTTCGTTAGATATCACTATAATTTAACCATATACGTTGATTGTGGTTCTTTTTTTTTTGTTTTTTTTTTGAACTTTTCTTTTGTTTATGTGTCTACTACGTATGTGTGCGTCGTCGTATGAATAATGAATCACGATGCATGTATTCGTTTGGTTTTATCAACCATGTTAGTGAATCTATAAATATCGTAAATTAAAAACGCAGAAGAAGGCTATCTAGTTACTTATAAGTCATGTTGTGGACATCTATATATGAGATCTGTTACCTAATTTGGTACTAATTTTTTGCCCAATAGATAGAAAATGTATAAACTAAATGTTGAAAAAGTAGAAAGAGAATTGTGTTTAGTTATATATAAAGAATATACAGGTGTATGTGTGTAATAAAATTGTGTTTAGATATATATACATGTGTATATATGTAATAAAATTGCGTTTTATCACTTTATGCTCATACAAGTTACCAAATTAACAAAGTATGGATAGGTTCATGCATGGTTGTGGTTTTGTTAGATTGAAAAATGGAACCGTAGAAAAAAATCGAATGTCATGAAAATATAATAAAGATATATATATTCTTACGATTGATCGGTCGTTGCGATACAAGAATAATAAATGGACGTCGCAAAGAAAATTAAAATAATCGAACTTCTATCTTTTCCGATTAACATAAAATATTGAGTGCTCTCAGTTTGGAAAGAAGGAGGGTAAAGCTGTAATATACACGTGTGTATGTAATAAATAACTTTTCTTACAAGTAATAAAGTACCTTTAAGGTACGTAATGCCATTTATAATTGCAACCCATATAGTGCTTTATATTTTTGTCCACAGTCAGCCCCTTTTTTCAACTTTAGTTTATTTCGGACGTCTATTATTGTGTACGCATCATTTGTTACATTCTCCAAATGCAAAAAAGAGATCCAAATCCATCCCGTGAGTCGGTGGGTGCTAATGATGGCCAAGTCCACTTTATTCCCCTAGAGATTTTTATATATGGGTCGAGGTTCTTTTTATGTATAATTACGGGTCGAATCTAAAGGCCTAAGAAGTCCGGCCCATAAATGTTCGGCCTTTCAATATGTTGGGCCCGATACACGAAATACCTAAAATATCCTTTGCCTTGTAGGATGAGTCAATTGATCTTGATTAAATGACCTTGGGTCAGACTATATATTCACACCAACCCCAAAGCGGAGACCTCGAAGTGAACTCCATTGACGCTGCTGACTAAAGGAGGGAAGCTACTTTCGAACAAACTAGAGAAGAGAGTTAGGTGAAACGAGAACAATGGCCCCTGCTCTTGCCGTTAATCGAGATCTCGCCGCCGCATCTCCGGAGAACGCTCCGGCGAAAGGACGCGCTTCCGTGTACAGCGAAGTCCAGTCTAGCCGTATTAGCAACGCCCTTCCGTTGCCTTCTGTGCTGAAAGGAGCTTTCAAAATCGTCGAAGGTCCCGCTAGCTCCGCCGCCGGGAATCCAGGTGAGGCCTCGGGATTGTGATCTCTCCGTCTGATCTGATTATTTTCGATTTGGATTTGTTTGTGTATCCGCCTTGCTTGATCTGTTACAACCCTAGATCTTGTATTAGCTCGGTGAGAAAATCGAGGAACTGTGTTGTTTACGAGACTAAATCGAATTCGTTTGATTAGTTTAATTGTGATTATGTTCAACTATGATAACGTCGGCTCTCTGAGGAAATTTCTAACAGATCTGAGTTCTATCGACTTCATAAGTGTTTCGGAGGATTTAGCGTTGGTTTATATGATTTCAGATGAGATCGCGAAGTTGTTTCCCGGTCTATATGGTCAGCCATCTGTATCAGTTGTTCCAGACGAGAGCGCGCCTTCATCGGGACAGAAGCTGAAGATCGGTGTGGTTCTCTCTGGAGGTCAGGCACCTGGTGGGCACAATGTCATATCCGGACTGTTCGGTGAGGGTTTTAATTTGATGTCAAATGATGTTTTGTTTAGCGTTTGTAGTTGACATTGTCCACTCTTGAATTGTAATTTTCTTCTTGGCTTTAGATTACTTGCAGGAGCGTGCCAAAGGAAGCACATTTTACGGTTTCAAGGGTGGTCCAGCTGGTATCATGAAATGCAAATATGTTGAGTTGAATGCAGATTACATTCAGCCTTACAGAAACCAGGTACTTGGACTGTAGAGTTTGTGGATTCTTGCCACAAACGCTGTGATTGATTGGGATTCAAAGATATTCAAAAGAAAAAAAGATCTACATTTATACTATGATGATCCATCCACATATAGTGTGGATCATTTAGTCCTCGGTTGAATTTGCTCATGTTAATTCTCTTCTGGTCTCAACAGGGTGGTTTTGACATGATTTGCAGTGGTAGAGACAAGATTGAAACCCCTGAGCAGGTTGGATACTTTTTTTTTTGTAAAAGATTTATTACCACTTTCGAAGCCTCTATTTCATGCAGTGGATAATTATATTTGTCTCATATGTGCAGTTTAAACAAGCTGAAGAAACAGCAAAGAAGCTTGATTTGGATGGTTTGGTGGTTATCGGTGGAGATGACTCCAACACCAATGCTTGCCTCCTTGCTGAAAACTTCAGGTAAACCTTGCAGTATAATCTGTTTATATTCACTGAAACTTTGTTTATCTTAGCCTGAACCTGTTATTTGTGAATATCCATGGAGACGGAATCTTCAATGCTTTGCTGATTCAGCATTCGACTTATTTTTGTTTCTGTGTAAGTAGGAGTAAGAACTTGAAAACCCGAGTCATTGGGTGCCCCAAGACCATTGATGGTGATTTGAAATGCAAAGAGGTGCCTACTAGTTTTGGGTTTGATACGGCTTGCAAGGTGAGCTTACGGTTTAATCAATTTTTTACCTGGACCTTCCTCCATGTTTACTCTAAAATTTTGCTTTCCTGCACTAAATGTTACATAACTATTCATGTGCTGTTTATTCTATTTCTCGTCAAGAATCTAATTGTTTGTTCCACGAGAAGACATATGTTAAAAAGAAGCCTACTAAAACATTCTATTGCTTATGCAGATTTACTCTGAAATGATTGGGAATGTCATGATTGATGCAAGGTCAACTGGAAAGTACTATCATTGTAAGTAATTGGGTTAACATAAATCTTAAAGTTGCATCATTTCTGTTGTCCCATATTTGTTTACTGATGCCCGCGATGTCGTATCACATTTTCGTTGCAGTTGTACGACTTATGGGCCGTGCTGCTTCTCACATTACGCTTGAGTGTGCGTTACAAACTCACCCAAACATAACCATTATCGGTGAAGAGGTGTGTTCTTGTTTGACTTCAGATTACCCCATAGATATTAAAATCTAATAGAATATAGAATTAGACTGCATATTCAGATTCATTTTGGTGACACTTTTCCATCGAAGCAAATAATCAATTTTAATATGGGTTATTGGTTCAGAGGTAACTACAATGTTCACCACTAGATCAGTCTATACACACTCAGTTTTGATCTGGAAATACCCTTTTGCAGGTGTCCGCCCAGAAACAGACATTGAAGAATGTAACAGACTACATGGTAGATGTTATCTGCAAACGTGCTGAACTTGGTTACAACTACGGTGTCATACTGATTCCAGAAGGTCTAATTGACTTTATTCCTGAGGTGCGTTTTCATGGCAGATAATTAATTTTACCACTTAAACAATTTATATGAATGTTTTTCTTAACTGACAATTACTATTATATTATGACTTCTCAGGTCCAAGAGCTGATCGCGGAACTGAATGAAATTCTGGCAAATGAGGTTGTTGATGAAAATGGACTGTGGAAGAAGAAGCTCACCGAGCAATCCGTGAAGCTGTTTGATCTTCTGCCTGAAGCGATTCAGGAACAGCTGATGCTTGAGAGAGACCCACACGGAAATGTCCAGGTAAAGTGATCATAGTCCTGTCTCTTCGTAATAAATTTTCACCAAGACGTCTCTCATGGATTATTAATAATAGAATGTTCCTCATCTTGATAGGTGGCCAAGATTGAGACCGAGAAGATGCTTATTCAGATGGTTGAAACTGAATTGGAGAAAAGAAAGCAAGCTGGTGCGTATAAGGGACAATTCATGGGGCAGTCTCATTTCTTCGGGTACTTTTCTCTCATTTTGATTTCTTTCAATGAAGCAACCAAATTGCTATATACAGCTGCATAGTACATTGCTTATTATATTACTTTTATCGACGTGAACACAGGTATGAAGGAAGATGCGGTTTGCCTACAAACTTTGATGCCACCTACTGTTATGCACTCGGTTACGGTGCAGGAGTTCTTCTCAACAGTGGGAAAACCGGACTGATATCTTCGGTTAGCACTCCATCTCCACTTAAATCAGCTTTCTCCTTGTTTCTCATGTCTCTGTTGATCAAAACAGCCTTTGACAAACTAGTGGGTGCTTTATAATGATATGAGTATTTATCGGCGCAGGTCGGGAACTTGGCTGCTCCTGTGGAAGAATGGACTGTAGGTGGGACTGCTCTCACGGCGTTGATGGATGTCGAGAGGAGACATGGTATGAATTCAAATAAAAAATAGTTTGTTTTATCATAACTACGATACATTAGAGATTTAAAACCTGAGTTGATTTTCAACTTTCAGGTAAGTTCAAGCCTGTGATCAAGAAAGCAATGGTGGAGCTTGAAGGAGCACCATTTAAGAAATTTGCATCGCTGCGTGAGGAATGGGCATTGAAGAACCGATACATTAGCCCTGGTTCGTTACAATTCCATTTTGTTTTAGGACAAGACATCTTTTGTTTCGGATTCTTATCGCTCTCATTGCGGAAATGTTATTGAATCGCAGGTCCAATCCAATTCACGGGACCTGGTTCAGACGCTCTCAGCCACACTCTACTTCTTGAACTCGGAGCTCAATAATCTATCGATTAACTATTGTTCCTTCTTGCTTATCTGCTTTCCTTGAGAGTTTCGCATTCGGTCTTGATTTTTTTTTTTATCTTGAACCCCAACCATTTCGGTTGAGTTTCACTTTGTGTTTCTTCAACATATAAATGATGATTATAGTATGGGGTGACTATCTAAATATAATAAAAGGTTCTTAAGTCGGAGTTACTATAGTTTCTACGTTTCTAGTTTTATTACGAAAATCTTAAGGTACAAGAATCAACAAATGGTTCTAGAATAAATGTGATTTAACGCCTCTTGATCATCAACATCCTATACAACTAATTAATTCATTTTCAAATGAAATTAAACTGTTGGTTGCATGCGTGCAGTTAACTTTGTTTGATACGAATGTATATAAATTTAACGAAGGATTGACTAAACACATTAAGGATGTTGGAAGAAAATTAAATAATAGACCGATTGAAATTCAGACAATCACTCAGTAGTTTCGTTAAATTCGGCAAAGCTTTCGCGCTCTTATTTACGACAATTTCTTTCATCCTTCAGTTTAGTTTCTCTCCACCTTTCTCTCTCTCTCTCCTTTTGTCAATTCAGAGACAAGAGGAGAGAGAGAAAGACCAGGAAAGGAGGTGACTTTTGTTGATCATGGGACAACAAGAGAGACCTGACGATGAGATACCCGAGTCACGTGATCTTCAGGTATACCCAGGTCCGCCGCGTCTCGGCCCGACCCGATTCTCCGCATTCGCCGGAGACCCGAATCCGAAACAAACGATTAAGCGAGGGAAGAAGAAGAGATTAATCCCAGTTTGGTACGAGCAAAGAAAGCCTAAAACAGCGATCGGCGTAATCGCCATTTTGGGTTTCTTCTTCCTCCTGAATTGGTTCATGCTCTCTCGTCTTCACGAAGGTCGAGTTTGGCTTCGCAAAAGCTTCCCTAAGAACCCGAAATGGGTTTCTGCACAGGTCAATAATATTGCAATTGACATGTTTCCTTAATTACTTTACGTTTCTTGCTTATGTTTAAACTCATTTTTCACTTACCAAGAAAAAAACAAACTTAGCTTTTGTTATCTCTCAAAAAACAGAATAAAAAAATTAAAAGCTCATCTGTGTTTCATAATTGAAACTATGGTGGTAATGATTCTAATGCAGAGAGTTGTGGATTTATAGATAGTACTTTGTTTGTGCTTGAAAGTTTCATTTGATATAAAACCTGCTGTATATGCCTGTAAGTCTCATTGATGTAATCTTGTTTTGTGAATCAGAATGATGAGCGCAAAAGGTTTGGAAAATCAAAGAGAAAATATAATGGAACATATGATAGAATGTTGGGTTTGGCAGCTCAGGCTTTGCAACAGGTAATGTATATTCTTTAGAAAAACCAATCTAATCTGTAACATCATTTTGTTACTGTGCTGTTATTGTAAATGGTGTTTAACTGAAGCAGAACAAACTCGAGCCAAAAGACTTATGGCAGGAACCAAAGCAACAAGCTTTGGCTTGGAAGCCTTGTGCTGATCAACGCTCTTGGTCTCCTGACGGTCTCACTCTCTCTCTCTTTAGAATTGGATTCAAAAAGCTTGTTTCCTATGGAGTTTGATTTTCCTGATTTTTAGATGGCAAAAATGGATATATTATGGTAACTGCAAACGGAGGGATTAATCAACAAAGAGTTGCAGTAAGTTGCAATTTGTCATTGAGATTCCTCTCTTGTCATAAGTCATAACCGTTGGAATGCTTTTCACAGGTATGTAACATCGTTGTTGTAGCTCGGTTGCTCAATGCGGCTCTCGTCATTCCCAAATTCATGCTTAGCGACGTTTGGACTGATGCAAGGTAACTCTTGTAAGCTCCTCCTCCTCCTCCTCCTCTCTGTTTCGCCCTCTCTGAGTCACATTTTACGATGAAAAGATCAGAGAGCTTTACATTTGTAACGATGTGTTCAACTTTGATACTTCATAGTCAGTTCGGAGATATCTATCAAGAGGAACATTTTACTGAGTATTTGTCTCCCGATATTCGGATAGTCAAGGAACTACCAAAAAAGCTTCAATCTTTGGATCTTGAAGCAATCGGCAGCGTTGTGAGTTTATACTTTTTTAAACCGGATCTTGATACAATCTCATATTTCTTTCTCTTTTTTGTTTTGTTTATGTTTGGCACTTCATCTCTTTAAGGTTACGGATGCGGATGTGATGAAAGAAGCCAAACCAGAGTTCTATACGCAACACATTCTCCCTGTGCTACTCAAAAACAGAGTAATCCATTTCGTTGGATTCGGAAACCGCTTAGCCTTTGATCCGATGCCCTTTGAGTTACAGGTAAGACATTCTTTTAATCCCCTGCATGTCGATTTCTCTTGGTTAAGCTCATTTGATCTAAACTTTTCTTGGAAGCTAGAGGCTTCGGTGCAGATGCAACTTTCACGCGCTAAACTTCATCCCGAGAATACAAGAAACAGGAGCGTTGCTCGTTAAGAGGTTACGGAACAGCGGACCTTACCCTGCACCACTTGATCCGCATCTCGTCGGTCCAAAGACCGCTTCCTTAGCCTTGGACAAGAAGTCTGATGATCCTCCTGCGTCTTCTTCAAAGTATCTTGCTCTCCATCTACGGTTTGAGATCGACATGGTTGCTCATTCTCTCTGTTACTTTGGAGGAGGCGAAACAGAACAGAAAGAGTTGGCCTCGTACCGCCAAAAACACTTCCCGTCTCTCTCGAATCTGTCCAAAACGAAAAAGTCTGTTCCTTTTTTTGTTTCAAACTCGACTTTCCTCTTCCTTCTTTTGAATTCTAAAACCCGGATTGCTCTGTTTTTTCCGGTTTCTTTTCAGATTCCCATCTCCAGATGCTTTGAGGACGGAAGGACTTTGTCCGTTAACACCAGAAGAAGCAGTGCTCATGCTCGCGGCTCTTGGCTTCAGCCGCAAGACTCGTGTATTTGTAGCTGGCGCTAATATATACGGAGGATCGAAACGTTTAGCCGTGTTAACGAGCTTATACCCGAATCTTGTCACCAAAGAGAAGTTACTAACTCAAGCCGAGTTACAACCCTTCAAGAACTTCTCATCTCAGGTAAAACCAAATCAAAACTATTCGATTCACTCTGTTTGATCCAGACTTTGTTTGTTTCAAACATCAATTTTTGGCGGTTAATTTTACGTTTACGTGTTTGACAAATTTCAGAAACGCAAACAAACAATCGTTGTTATAAAGCTTTGTGTGTTTTTCTCTTGTGGTTTGTATATTGTAGCTAGCGGCTTTAGATTTCATCGGTTGTGCTGCGGCAAACGCTTTTGCAATGACGGATTCAGGGAGTCAGTTATCGTCTCTTGTGTCGGGTTATCGGATTTATTACGGAGAGGGAAAAATGCCGACGATACGACCGAACAAACGGAGACTTTCGGATATATTGATGAAGAACAATACGATTGAGTGGAGCGTGTTTGAGCAGAGAGTGAGGAAAGCGATTAGGCAGACCAAACATGTCTTCGCTAGACCTACTGGTCGCAGCGTTTACCGTTACCCAAGATGTAAAGAATGTATGTGTAATGATCAAGAATATTGATTTCTTTTTCAATTTTTTGGTGCCATTTTTGGTTCGGTTCTTGAGAGGATAACATTTTGGTTTTCTTTTGTAACGATTTAACTGAGTTACCTTTTTTTTTTTAAAAAAAAAAAAACGGTTCGAGCTTCTGTAAGTGAATATTGGGTTTTGATTGTTCGATTGAAGAGAATACCAAAGTTTGGTTCGACATTCTGATTTGGTGAACCGGATGATTTGAAGACTTTTCTTCTTCTCATTTCTCATTCAACCAGGCAAAAACTCGCATATTAACATTGATTGAAGAATACCATGATTTTGGTGTGTGACATTACCAAATAAACTAGATGATAAGCGGTTTTGTTGTAATTAGATTAGGCAGTTTAACCAATAGTCAATGGACATAAACATCCGATTATCATAACACACTATTGTTTGGGAGTTGGGACCAGGTTCAAATTTGCATGACTCTCCCTTTTTGTTTGTGATCTATTAAAAAGTTCAACAATCCAAATTTAATGGATTTCGCTTGTTATTTTTTAAAAAATTCTAACCATTAGTTTTATGTCTAAAATATTCATCTAAAATTATTATTCAAAATCTTCGATTACACTAGAGTGTAGTTACCGTTAGCAAAACGTTGTCGTCCAACGTTCCCGCTTCCCCATATTTTAAAATACTAACGTTTCTTGTGATTTTTCTTAATTATTTAATTGGATTACTGTATTCACGCTCGAACACTCGGCGCGTGACATCCTCCATTGTGCTCGCTTGGATAAAAAGAGAAACCACGTGACACGTACGCGGAGTCCACACCGTTGCCGCCCCACGTGGCAGCTGTCGCAGCTAGCTGATTTCAGAATCAAATCTATTGTTAATGACTAATTTCATTGATAAGTACTTAGCATCTACCTGATTAACTTGTTGCTTCATGTGACCCCTATATTTTCATTGATATTCGATTTATTCCTCTATCTTTATGCATTTTCAGAAATACCAAATTAAATTATTTTTTTGGTCACTGATTGCAAAATTTCACAATTATTTCATTATAAAGCTTTTCACATTTTCAGAAACACTCATTCTGAATACTAGTCGTTAGTGCATTTGTTTATATGTTATTTATTGTTCTTTTTTTGTTTACATTTATTACATTCATGATACATCTATCTATTAAATTTTAATTATATTGAATTTACGGCTATAAAAATAAAAACATAATAAAAACACATAGTTTATGTTTTATGATGACTTAAAGTAAATTTTCTTCAGATAAATTTTTTTCACTAATTTAATATTTCCTATATTTCAAAATAAGTGTCATTTTGACATTTTTTACATAAATTAAGAAAAGCATTAAAAATTTTGTTTTATCTTTTGTTCAAACACAAAATAACATTCTCTTTCTAATTAATACATTAATATAATAAGATTAAAACAAGATTTTTGTTTAGAAAATTGCATTAGAAATATAAAATAACATTCTTTGTAAAACAAAAAAAACTCTAAAACAACACTTATTTTGAAACAGAGGGAATAGTAACTAGAGATAGTTGACTTTTTTTATTATTTACTTAGGAAATTGTAGAAAATTAAAAAGATGAATATGGGGATGGTACCCTAATTAAAGATATAAAAGTGTGGGGTTGTTTATGTGAACTTTAACGTCTAACAAAAAAAAAAGAATTTAAAGCAAATCTCTCGTCTGAGACTATCAGGATTTAAACGCGGACCAACGTCACCTTACATATTCATTCACCCACTGGACTGATAAATAAAGAAAAATAAGCTTTTTTCGTTGTCCAAAGGTTTCGAAACCTTTTTTGTGATTCCTCTTTCTTCCTCCTCCGTGTCTTTTCAGCGTTTTCCACAGCAAAAAAACGGCAGAGCGAGACTATTTTTTTCTTTCTCTTCCTTTAATTTTTTTTATGCAGAGACTGAACTTCGATCTCTCCGGTTCCTCTGTTTTTTTTCTTTGGTGTGATTTTTTGATAAGAGTGGAATATATACACTTTTCTAGCTTTCTATCGCCAAGTGACAATTCAAGGACGCCCTTACTTCAGCAATTTGGTTCTATAGGTTTGTTTCAAATTCTATCCTTTTAGTCTACTTTTTCCCTATATTTGAATAAACTAATTAGTTAAATTGCTTCTCGAGAAGTTTTAGGAAAAAGGTATTTTCGTTGTCAAAAAGAGACGTTACTGCAGAAAAAAACAAAATTCATAATCTGGGTTTTGGGCTCTTAGAGATCTTGATCAAATTAATTCATTCAGTTCAGTTCTTATATGTAGTAGCTTCTCTATTAAGATTTTAAAAAGTTTCAACCTTTGAGCTCTATTTAATCTTCATCATCAAAACTCTTATGTCACTGTTATATTAGTTCATAATATATTCGCTCTTCTTATTAGTGAAAATGGGAGGAAGAAGAGATAAATGTTCTCTTTTTCTCTTTGGAAATGCTGTGATAATTTTCTTACCAATTCTTCTTTATTAATTTCCCTTTTCTGAAAGATTTTATAGATTTGAGCATTTTATTCTGACTCTTATGAGTTTCCATATTAATGAAAATATAATTATTTCTTTCTGCTTAATTATTTGGTAGGTGACGTCTTTGAATTCAAAGCGGTTTCATAGATTTTAGGACTGAATATTTTGCAGGTGAAGAAGCATTTGATTTCAAAGCGGAATTTCAGATTTCTAAAGATTTAAGTTAAGAGATGGCAACACTAGGAGATATCGGAGTAGCTGCAACGATCAACATACTCACTGCCATCATCTTCCTTTTGGCATTTGCAATCTTGAGGATTCAACCTTTCAACGATAGAGTCTATTTCCCCAAATGGTATCTGAAAGGTATAAGAAGCAGCCCGTTGCATTCGGGTGCTCTTGTGAGCAAGTTTGTGAATGTGGACTTAGGCTCGTACCTACGGTTCTTGAACTGGATGCCCGCCGCTCTAAAGATGCCTGAGCCCGAGCTTATTGATCACGCCGGGCTGGATTCTGCTGTGTACTTGAGGATTTACTTGACAGGGTACTGATGCGTTGAAACCTCTTCTTGTGAAAGATTCTTGCTTTTGCATAGTTTCATCTTTAAAGTTATAGTCTTTCGCTTGTTTTCTCTGTTTTTTTCTTTTTCTTGCAGGCTTAAGATCTTTGTCCCAATAGCATTACTTGCGTGGTCGATTCTTGTGCCTGTAAATTGGACAAGCGAGGGGTTGCAGCTAGCAAAGCTTCGTAATGTAACATCTAGTGATATTGATAAGCTATCCATCTCAAACATCGAACGTGGATCAGATAGGTTGGCAGAATCATCCATAACCTCCTCATGTTGATTCTTAGCCCTCTCTATGATTCTAAAGTTTGTAGCTTCTTGTAATCTTTTTGAAGGTTTTGGACTCACCTTGTGATGGCGTACGCCTTCACATTCTGGACTTGCTTTGTTCTAATGAAAGAGTATGAGAAAGTAGCTTCCATGCGTTTGACATTTCTCCAGTCCGAGCAACGTCGTCCTGATCAATTCACGGTAAAGCTGTTGCATTACATGATCAGTTTTGCTTTCCTGATGTTAACCATTCGATTGACCCGGTTTTTCTTTCACAGGTTTTGGTTAGGAACGTACCAGCTGACCCAGACGAGTCCATTAGCGAGAGTGTGGAGCATTACTTCCTTGTTAACCATCCAGACCATTATCTTACACATCAGGTTATATCTCATTGCTCTGAAAGAATCAGTTTTTGTTTTGTTTTGTTTTGTTCCAGGGTTTTGTTTAAATCCTGTAACTTGGTTATCTAGGTTGTGTACAATGCGAATGAATTGGCGGACTTAGTCGAGAAGAAGAAGAGCACGCAGAACTGGCTTGACTATTACCAATTGAGGTCTTTAAGGAACAATGATCAAAGGCCACGGATAAAGGTAACTGTGGGCTTTTAGACACAAACTTAAAGAAGCTCTTGTCTTGTCTCTAATCTGTTGTATGCTTTGTTCTATGTGAACCCAGACGGGTTTTCTCGGGCTATGGGGAAAGAAAGTGGATGCAATCGATCATTATATAGCTGAGATCGAGAAACTAAACAACCAAGTAAGTTTTATTGTCTACAACGTTGTAATTACTCAATTGGAAATGATCAAAAATGATTCTATCTTTTCTGTTTTTATTCAAGATAATGGAGGAAAGGAAGAACGTAAAGAAAGATGACAAGAACGTAATGCCAGCAGCTTTTGTTTCTTTTAAAACACGGTGGGGTGCTGCGGTTTGTGCACAGACACAACAGTCGAGTAATCCGACCGAATGGTTAACTGAGTGGGCACCCGAGGCACGAGAAGTGTTTTGGTCGAACCTCGCGTTGCCTTATGTCTCTTTAACAGTAAGGAGGCTTATAATGCACGTTGCCTTCTTCTTCCTCACCTTCTTCTTCATGATTCCAATAGCCTTTGTTCAATCCTTAGCAAGCATTGAAGGCATCGAAAAATTTGCTCCTGTCCTCAAAACCATCATCGAGAAGTAACATTTCTCTCTCTCTCTCTGTCTCTCCATTTTCTTGCTTGCTTATGTATAAACTAGATGTTGAATTCGCAATGTTTTGTAGGCCGCTTGTGAAATCGGTTATCCAAGGCTTTCTTCCTGGTATTGTGTTAAAGCTCTTCATAATATTCCTGCCAAGTATCCTGATGGTAATGTCAAAGTTCGAAGGGTTTGTATCGTTATCGTCGTTAGAGAGAAGAGCTGCTTTCCGATATTACATCTTCAACCTCATCAATGTCTTCCTCGGAAGCATAATCACTGGCTCTGCATTTGAACAACTCGACTCGTTCCTCAAACAATCCGCAAATCAGTAAGTCGAAAGTTTCCTCCTTTTCTCTCTCACTACCTCTCTCTCTCTCTGTTTGAACATTTAAATGATCCTCAAGCTTATGCAACGTTGCGCTTTGTCACTTGTTAGGATTCCTAGAACGGTTGGAGTAGCGATACCGATAAAAGCAACGTTTTTTATAACGTATATAATGGTTGACGGTTGGGCGGGAGTTGCAGGGGAGATTCTGAGGCTGAAACCTCTAATTTTTTTCCATGTGAAGAACTCTCTCTTGGTGAAAACGGAAAAGGATAGAGAAGAAGCTATGAACCCTGGACAGATCAACTTTCACGCGACAGAGCCTCGGATACAACTCTACTTCCTCCTCGGTCTTGTCTATGCCCCTGTGACTCCTGTTCTGCTCCCTTTCATTATAATCTTCTTCGCATTGGCCTACCTCGTATTTCGTCATCAGGTTAATAAAACCAAACTCTGTTTTCTTCTTTAAAACATCTTCAAGATTCTTTTTATTGAACCGAGGTTGTTTTTGCTGGTTCGGTGTCTTGTTGCAGATCATAAATGTGTACAATCAGGAATACGAAAGCGCGGCTAGGTTCTGGCCAGATGTTCATGGACGTATAATCTCGGCGTTGATCATCTCTCAAATCCTTTTGATGGGTTTATTGAGCACCAAAGGTGCCGCTCAGTCCACGCCGTTCCTCCTCGTCTTACCGGTCCTCACCTTTTTCTTCCACCGGTTTTGCAAAGGCCGGTACGAACCGGCATTTCTCCGTCACCCCTTGCAGGTCAGTAAACCGAGGTTTTGTCAATCGGTTGGTTAATTAATTAGCTCTCTTTGGTTCGGGTTGGCTGATTTTGGTTAAGTATTTGTTACTGATCTCGTCAGGTTTGGTTTTGCAGGAAGCTATGGTCAAAGATACGTTGGAACGAGCAAGAGAACCGAACTTTAATCTGAAACCGTATCTTCAGAAAGCATATATTCATCCGGTTTTCAAAGATGACGACTATGAAGATGGTCGTTCTGAGATTTCCGGTTATTGCCTCGAGGATTTGGACGAAGAATGTGTTACTGTGCCGACGAAACGTCAGTCCCGGAGAACTACGCCTGCGGTTAGCCATGCTAGCCGCGGTTCATCACGTTCACCATCAAAGGGATAACAAGAACCTTTTGTTTTTCACTCAACCGGGTCGGTTTCTCATACGGTATAGAATTGGAAGAAACGGAATTAACCATGTTGGGATATTTATTTATTTGCTCTAAGTTTTTGTATATTATAGTATTATTATTACAAAATGTTTTTTTTTGGTTTTGAGTTTTGACTTTGAACTGTAGAATTATATTTTTTTGACATTTGTCGAGGAAAAGACAATCAATAAGAGTGTCGTTTTAGAGTTTTGTTTTTGTTTCATAAAGAGTATTGTTTTACATTTCCAATACAAATTTATAACAAAATATCTAGTTTTAATTTTGTTACTTTAGTGTATTAATTAAAAAAGAAAATTATTTAATGTATTTATTAAGGATAGAAAAGACTTTTTATTAACTTTTTTAATTTATGTAAAAAGTGTCAAAATGACATTTATTTTGAAATAAAAAGAATATTATTTAAAAATGCTAATAAATCTGTATCCTTCTTGGTCAACAATAGAAACATCATACATGTGTCATGCGCATGACAAAAAAAAAAAAAGACACAATATATATATTTCTGTCGATAAGGACAGCGTCGAGCTATTTGGAAAAAACAAATATATATGGCAGAAAACTTTATAAAAGTTAATTGTTTCTGTGAATAACAACAAATCAAATGATCTTTGACCACCATATGTACAAATAGTAAATACTCATAAATGTAGAATGGCCAGTATCCTTTGCTTTATTTGTCAGAACTAAATACATTGTACAGTTTATTTCCACCTAATTATATAAAAAAAATATTTCTTTTCTGCTGACAAAAGAAGGAAAAGAAAAAATCATTGACGATATTTTCAATGAAATTAACATAAATTGGTTTTTTTTGGAGCTGGAATTGGTTGTATTTGCTTTATTTGTCCGAACTAAATACACTGTACATAGTGTATTTCCACCAAATGACAGAAGAAAATATTTCCTTTCAGATATAAAAAAGGAAAATAAAAAAACATTTCTATATCTTCAATGAAATTAACATAATCTGTTGATACAGAAAATTAGAATTAAAAAGATTTTGCTCCACAACTTATTTTGCTCTAACTCGTCTTTCGATCATTTTAAAGACTAAAATCTATATTTTCTGTACGTAAAGCCTGCATTTATGCGTAAGATTTTATCCATCTCGAGTATTTCCATAGTGACCTTTGGTAAAAATAATTTGCTTTCTTCAGTTTAGACGAGTTAAAAGCGTGAATCTCACGAGCGGCAGAATAGTTTTTTTGCCCGTACGTGAGTGAGAATCGGGAAGTATTTGACTGAAGAAATAAATAATATTTTTAATTCAAAAATTCTAAAACTATTCGGTGGATGTGACCCGAGAACGAATCGGTGCTTCGGTTCGGTGCGCCAATTAAAAAGAGCCACGTGCTCATCCACGTACGGTCCGGCAGTAGCTAAGCTACAGTAGAAGCGGCTCTTTAAACGTTTTTTTTTTTCTTTGACTGTTTTAGATTTTGTACCTTATTAGTAATATGTTTCCCATTAAAACTCTTTATTCGTTCTCTTCTTTCTTTCAAGAACGAAAAAAGTTCGTAATATCTTCTATGTTTCACTGAATCAGGTAAATTTGGGCGTTTCCTTGGAATCATGTCAGCTAAATTTGTAGCTGATTAAAGTTTTCGTCATTCTCCGTGAAGAAATCGCCTGAGCTGTTTCTTTGTGTTCTGAAAGGTAATGATTCTCTCTGATTTCTTTGTGTCTGTAATTTATCGTTTTAAATTTCTGATTTCTTCTTGTCTTGAATCCAATATTATGTTTCGGATTCGTTAAAGTTCTGTTCTTTGGAGGTTTTTTTTTTTTTTTTTTTTTCCTTTTATCTATCTGTTGGACTTTTCATATCCCTGTTCGGTTTGTTTTCTGTGGCGTTAGGGTTTTAAAATTGTTTATTGACTCTGCTCTTTGGAGAAAACAACGCAATTCGCACTCGTTTGGATAATGAAAACTGTATTGAGTAATTCGTCTTAATTTGATTTTCTGAGTATTTGGTTATGGACATTGGAATATGCCTTTTCAGGTGCTTAAAATTGAGAAAAATGGAGGATGTAGTTGCTGCTAATGGAGCAAATCTCAAGCATAATGGTGTAATGAAGAAGAAACCGGTTGAGCCAACAAGTAATAGCAGTGCTTCAGACATAGAAGAAGAGAGGAGTGTGTCTAATAGCAAACGGAAACGGTCTAAAGCTGATGAAGTTAAAGCTGTTAAAACCGAATCTCCGAGAAAGAAGATAGCTGCAAAGAAGCTAGATTCACGCAAAGAAGGAAATGGTGATGTTGATGAAAAGAAACGTGAGGAGAAAGTGAAGCAGAGAAGCCCTGTGAAGAATAAAGAAGAAGAGAAATGTGAAGAAGAACTGCAACTAGTTTCTTACATCAAGGCAACATCTCGTAACAGGAGGCTGGATTTAAATACTTCGGATCATCAGTTTTTTGAAGATGAGACAGATGTTGTTAACGGTCCATGTTCACATTCTGAGTCAGATTTGTCAGATTCTCATCTGAAGAACGATAAATTTAAAGACTGCAGAAGCATGACAAGGAGCTTAAAGGTAACAACATTGTTCTTAGATTATGTGAAAAAAAATGTACTGAACTTTTGTCCGAACTTCATGTTTTCTTTCTTTCTTTTTTTTTCCTTTGCACAGGCAAGTTTGGGAGAGCTTGCAATTTGCCATCAATGCTTTAAAGGGGAAAGAAGATATCTTTTCATCTGCACCTGGTGTGAAGAGAGAATATATTGTGCTCCATGTATAAAGAAATGGTTAGTTTCCCCATTACATTGTCTTCTTCTTTCTCCTTATAATAAATATACCTTTTCATCAGTATTCTTAATACACTTTTTGGTCCCAGGTATCCCCATTTGTCACATGATGATGTCTTGGAAAAATGTCCTTACTGCCGCGGAAACTGTAACTGTTGCATATGTTTGCAGTCAAGTGGACTAATCGAGGTATGGTTTGTCTTCTTGTGTTCTTTTTGTTCTTCTTACTAAGAAGAATCGCAAGATCAAATTTTTTTCTCTGTTTTGTCTTACAGACGTCAAAGAGAAAGCTACCTAATCACGAAAAGTTTCACCATCTCCGATACTTGATTGGGTCGATGCTTCCTTTCCTTAAGAACTTATGCAAAGCGCAAGATCAAGAAATTGAAACCGAGGCAACGATTCAAGGTATATGGATCTTCTGCTACTATACTAATACAAGATTTTTAAGCTTGATACAATACAAGATAACATGTTGATTTGTTTCCTATAGGAGTAACGACTTCTCAAGTTGTAATATCGAAGACTCGATGCTCAAATGAAGAGCGCGTCTTTTGGTAAGTATCACACTTCATCATTTGTTTTAAGGAGTTATATAACAATCTGTTTTGTTTTTTTTCTTTACTGAAATATTTATTTTGTGTTGTAGTAACCATTGCGCAACCTCAATTGTTGACTTGCATCGAAGCTGCACAAAGTGTTCTTTTGAGCTTTGTCTGAGTTGTTGCCAAGAGATCCGTGGAGGATTGCTTTCAGAACGCGAGGAATATAAGCCACAGTTTGTCAATAGAGGGAGCCGATATGCACATGGCGAAGATGCAGAACCGAGCTCTTCTTCAGTCCCCGAGGATGATGAAGCTAATAATCAATCCGCTAAGTGGAGTGCTGATGAAAACGGACGCATAACCTGTGCGCCAAAAGAGCTAGGCGGTTGTGGTGACTCTGTTTTGGAGCTTAAGAGGATCCTACCCATCACTTTGATGTCGGATTTGGTGCAAAAGGCAGAGACGGTCCTTGTATCTTGTGGCATCCTTCCGAAATTGTCGTATTGCAGCTGTTCTGATGATTCGGAGATGAGCATGAAGAGGAGAACAGCTTCGAGGAAGGAATCCAGTGACAATCACCTCTACTGTCCTGACTCTTTTGATGTCCTGAAGCAACAGGAGCTTCTGCATTTCCAAGAGCATTGGTCCAAAGGCGAGCCAGTGATTGTTCGAAACGCTCTTAACAACACAGCAGGTTTAAGCTGGGAGCCAAATGTAATGTGGCGAGCTCTATGCGAGAATGTTGATTCACCAGCTAGCTCCAAGATGTCTGAAGTCAAAGCAATCGACTGTTTAGCTAACTGTGAGGTAAAAAGTCTTGTCTTTTTTTTTCGCTTTTTAAAAAGGTTTTCGGTTAGGCTCTAAAACTTTATTTCATCCAAACTCAGGTAAAGATCAAAAGTGGGGACTTCTTTGAAGGATACAGCAAAGGAAGAACATACGCTAACTTGTGGCCTGAGATGCTGAAGCTGAAAGATTGGCCTCCTTCAGACAAGTTTGAGAACCTTTTGCCTCGTCACTGCGATGAGTTCATCTCAGCACTACCTTTCCAAGAATACAGCGACCCTAGATCCGGAATTCTCAACATTGCTTCAAAGCTCCCTGAAGAAATTCTCAAACCAGATCTTGGTCCAAAGACTTACATTGCATACGGGATCTCAGATGAGCTCGGGAGAGGCGATTCAGTCACTAAGCTTCACTGTGATATGTCAGATGCAGTAAGCTTTCATAGTTTGTTTCACACTGTTATAATAAAAATGTGTCGTTTTAGGTATATTATTATATTAATGTTTTGTTTTTTTGTGTAGGTCAATATTCTGATGCATACGGCTGAAGTAAAACTAACTGAGGAGCAACTGTCTGCAGTCGAAGCTCTGAAGCAGAAACACAAGCAACAGAATGAAAAAGAGCAAAATGGTTTAGGCGGAGAAGAGACTGTGAGTGATGGAAATGGGTTTCATGATGAGACAGGCAGTGCGCTTTGGGACATATTCAGAAGAGAAGATGTTCCAAAGCTTGAGGAGTATCTAAGAAAGCATTGCAAAGAGTTCAGACATACTTTTTGTTCTCCTGTTACAAAGGTAAATAAAATAATCTGGGAAACGTTTATTTTTCTTCCATTTTCCGAGCTCGATGGTATTGTAACTGATGAGGGATTATTTCGTGTAGGTTTATCATCCTATTCATGACCAGTCGTGTTTCTTAACCATGGAGCATAAAAGAAAACTCAAGGCTGAGTTTGGTATGGTTCTTGTAACTGTAATAACTGTCACTTGAGTTATTATTGTCATTTTATTCATATCTATGCTTCTTGTTTGTTTGTTTGAATTGAAGGGATTGAGCCATGGACATTTGTGCAAAAGCTAGGAGAAGCGGTGTTTATTCCCGCGGGTTGCCCTCATCAAGTTCGGAATCTAAAGGTTATTTTGAATGATTGATTAACTGTTTTATCAGCTAACTTTTTCCTAATTATTTTACTTACATAACTTTTTGGGTGTCTGTGTGTGGATTTGGAACAGTCGTGCACAAAGGTAGCTGTTGATTTTGTGTCACCAGAGAACATTCACGAGTGTCTCCGTTTGACTGAAGAGTTCAGACAACTCCCTAAGAACCATAAAGTCAGAGAAGACAAACTTGAGGTGATTCTTCCTTTCTCTGTCTATTACAGAATATAACTAAATTACAATGTTGTTTACTAAATTTCCTGCAGGTTTTTATTTTTGATTGACTGATGTTTTTACTCATTTTTGTGTCATGCGAAACAGATAAAGAAGATGGTGATCTATGCTGTCGAACAAGGCTTGAAAGAACTGGAGGCATTGTAGTGAGATTGAAGCTCAAAGCCTTATAGTACTTTTGTTGTGACATATTGTTCCAAAACATTTTAGCAGGAAACAACAGATTTTGTAGATTGTAAAGCCATGGCGATTGTAGTTGGGGCTACTTGAGGCTTTTGCTGTGCTGAAAATGATTCCCCTTTTTTATGGGTGTAACTTTTTGTATTGCAAGCCATTCTCTCTTTTTTTTTTTTTTTTTTGGCATATGAAAGTTTCACTTATGTTCTTTCTTTGCATTGCTTTGTATAAGCATATTACACAGGTTGCAGAGAATTATATGTCACCAACCAATCGGAATCTATTGTTAGATTTTGTTTGAATTTTTCAAACATAAATCCATGGTTTTTAATCACAAAACTTTACTCCAAATTACATCAAATTATAACATCAATTATAAATTAATTTTAAAATTATATGTCACCAATCGGATAATCTATTCTTAGATTTTGTTTGAATTTTTTTTTTGTTGGTTACATATACATATTTTTATCTTTTATATATTCGTAACAAATGTTATTTCCCAAACCTTTAAGCAGGAAATAACGTTTTAAACGATTTTATTTCTGACATATTCGTAGTTGATGATTTATTTTATAAAATAAAATTTTCATACTTGACAATGTTTTAATTGTTTTTGACTGGTAATTATTTTGGGTCCCACTGAACTTAAAAGGGTGCGTGGACTAATGAAAGCGACGACGTTTAAAGGGTTTATACGTCTACCACCATCATCATCATTTTCTGTCTCCTTCTCGCTCAATTCCAAAAAATGTGTTAATGCCAAACTCTTCGGTTTCAATATCTCCTGAAATTTCAACTTTAAAACCCTAAAGGATTTGTAGTTATCCGTTTCCATTACAGCGACAGTGGTACTCCGGATGTTGATCATTCGACGGTGAGGTGATCGCAATCTTCCGGAGGTGAAAATGACAAGGAAATCGCAGCCGCAGCCTCCATTGTCACGTCGTGGCGTCGTGTGGCTGGGATGGAAGCTCGTCATCGCTTTCTCCGTCGCGCTATGCCTTCTTGCCCTCCTCAGGATCCACCTGCAGTACAATTCCGCTGCGACATTGGCGCCGCTCTCCGTCGCGAAATCTCGTAATCCGCCCCGCGAATACTCCGGCGACCGCCCGAAGGTCGCCTTCCTTTTCCTAGCTCGGCGTGATCTCCCGCTTGATTTTCTGTGGGACAGATTCTTCAAGGTTTGAATTCGCAGACTACGTCTCTTTGATTTGAAACCCTGTCGCTGGCTGATTTCTAAATTTGGAAAAATTGGCTGCTCCTGGTGATTTCGCAGGGTGCTGATCAGGCGAATTTCTCCGTTTATATACATTCAGTACCTGGTTTCGTGTTCAGTGAGGAAACCACGAGATCACAGTATTTCTATGGTCGCCAATTGAACAATAGCATCAAGGTGAGTGTTTCGTCTTCTTTGAGAATGTAATCGAAGATCAACGTAGTACTTATCTGTTTTGGATTTGGTGTCAGCAGAGTTGTAAAAGAAGAGCCTTTTTGACATTTATTGAACTTCAGTTTTTGATCCAAATATTTCAAAGTGTTCGTAAGGATTAGAGTGGATGAATTGAGACTTAGGGTGTGATGGTTATAGGTAATATGGGGAGAATCCAGCATGATTGCAGCAGAAAGATTGTTGCTTGCATCTGCTTTAGAGGATCAGTCAAATCAAAGATTTGCTCTTCTCTCTGACAGGTGCGCTTCTCTCAGCATTATTATTCCTCATCGACTGACTGAATTGCATTTCAGAAGATTCCTTAATTCCAATGATCTCGTTACTCTATTTTGCATATGATTAGTCGGCACTAACTGGTTGGTCAATCACAGTTTCTCTTGATTTTAGCTGTGACCTTGTTGATGCAAGAGTGGGCTTGTGTTCTCACACTCTGAGCATTCGCTTATGGACCTTCTTATGTCTGACCATACCTTATTGCATCTGACTTTCAGCATATCTGTGATTACGCAAGTTTTTATCTTTCTTCACTTTGCTTCTACTTTCTGTTTTGCAGATGTGCTCCGTTATATGACTTTGGCTATATATACAGATATCTTATCTCTTCACCGAGGAGTTTTGTGGATAGGTAGATTGCAAGTCTGAATTTTTTTTAGAGATTTATCAGTACTTGTAAATATGTTAGTGGAACCACGTGACTTCTATATGGCGTGATAACTGGTGTATTATAAGAGGAGTTTTCTACATGTTGATAGCTATGTTTCTCTATATTTGCAGTTTTCTTCATACTAAAGAGACACGGTACAGTGTGAATATGTCTTCTGTCATACCTGAAGAGAAATGGCGAAAAGGATCCCAGGTATCTTCATTATCTTGCTTGTGAAACAAATATCACAGAATTGATTGGTTATTAAGATTTTCGAAGCCTAGTTTCTTCTGGAATTTACAGGGACAATGATTCCTTTGCAGTTCATGATTTTTTTAATCTCATCCTAGTTTTATCTATTGCAGTGGATATCTGTGATCAGAAGTCATGCAGAGGTTATTGTAGGTGATGGTACCGTATTCCCAGTTTTTAAGAAATTTTGCACGGTAAAGATCAAGTTTGATGTTTATTTTTTTCGCTATTGCTTGGTTTCATTGAGTAGCAATCACTATTAAGCGGAACTTTAAGAGTATCTTTGATCATTCTAATGTCAGTCCTGATTCTTTTTCGCTGAAGAAACAACAGATTATTCGTTGATTTCTCTTTCAATTTGCAGAGAGCTCCACCGTTAGGTTCCCCAAAGTCATGGCTGTTTCTTGTAAGTGATACTTAAAAGTTTTCATTTTTTTCATTTAACAGCAGCAGGCTGAATTATCGATTTATGTTGATTCTTTGTGTTGGTTTGACAACAATCTCAATCGTGTCTATATTGAAGTTTTATGACACTTCTCTCCATTGCTCCGCCTCTTTTGTTTCTCAATAAATTGGTGGACGTTTAAACTATTTACGTTTGATGTGAACTCAGAAACAGAACCGGCGCAACTGCATCCCCGATGAACACTATGTGCAAACATTGCTTACGGTAATTATTTCTATCTGGTAAAAAAAACCTCTCCTGTTTTTGTTTCTTTTCTCCATTTAAAAAGTTCCAAACTGATCTTATCAGATGCGCGGGCTAGAGAGTGAAATGGAACGAAGAACACTGACATACACTGTATGGAACATTTCGGGTACAAAATATGAAGCCAAATCTTGGCATCCCGTCACTTTCACATTCGAAAACTCCGGCCCTGAGGAAATAAATGAAATTAAGGTACATAGTTTGTTTTTTTAACTGTTGATGATCGTCGCCGAATGGATCTTTGAGCAATCTCTACTTCTTTTTTGTTTCTTGGGACAGAAAATAAACCATGTCTATTACGAGTCTGAATCTCGAACAGAGTGGTGTAAGGCCGATTCAAAACCCGTCCCGTGTTTTCTCTTTGCAAGGAAGTTCACCAAAGAAGCCGCTTTGCGCCTTGTGAGCGAAGGACTAATAGGATCATCAACAAACATAACCTTATAAGTTATATAACTATGCAATACTGTAAGCAAGGTTTTTAGGTTACAAACTGAAAAAAGGAGAATGTATCGTGTAGGTCAAGCAAAGGAGGGTATACATAGAGTAGTGATTAGCACTGGTACATTACAGACAAACACTCATGAGGATAGTTCACTGATTATATATGACGCTTAGCACCAAATAAGATCATTTAATGAATTTTCTTAATTTGGAATTTTGTTTGGTTTTTGATTTGTTTATCAGTTTCGCCGATGGCATAGCCGCTAGTTGCAATGAAAACAAGTCGTTTACTTTTATTCTTCCATGTGTCTCATGAAATTTAAACAATAGCGACTTATATACCTTAGTCTATACGCAGGAGCGTAGCAAAATACAATGCGAATACAAAAAGACCAAAAAAGAAGAAAGAAAATACATCATTCCATCATCAATACAACAGCTCTTTATTCTTTACTCGAAACTGGATGTTGAAATTTAGAATCAACCTCATTTCTTCTTAGGATACTCTCTCGCCCCAAAAATCGTTGATCCTATCCTCACATTTGTGCTTCCCAGTTCAATCTGTAACTCCCAAAACCAAAAAGAAAACTCTTTTTTAACATTTTTGATCACAACTCAGAACTTTTGTACTTAAATCAACAATATGTGAAGTGATCAAAACTTACAGCTAACTCAAAGTCGCCGGACATCCCCATCGATAGCTCACATTGTTCCTCCGGTATTCCAAGCTCCTTACACACTTCACTTCTGCATTTCGCAAGCATCTATTCATATGATAAAGAAACAAACGCGAGCTCCGTTTAATGCTCCCATAAATATTTACCAAACATCTTTTTAGGTTCCATCTCAGAGAGTACAAAACCTTGAAGTTCTCAGGGGTTGAAGTGTAATCAGCCATCCCTATCGTCATCAAACCAGAAAACTCAAGATTCGAGCAGGCTTCCTTCACGTGTTTTGCTAGTCCTACGCATCCTGAGGGTTCCACGCCGAATTTAGCTGGAGATATCAGCAGTGAGATGATCATGTACTAAGAAACGTGAAAAAAGTGAGAACATAGAACAAGTTGCAGCATTTCCAGATTCTTACACTCTTCGCCACTGGTGTTTACTTGGACCAAGACCTTCAAAGGCTTTCTTCCTATGTTCCCAACCACACGATCAAGCATATTTGCAATCTATGAAGCAAATGCAGTAAGCCAAAAACCAGTGTTTGTCACATTCATATTCGTCAGGTTGCCTCTAGTCTAAGAGACATTGCAACTACGAAATGAATGATTCCAGCCTATAGATTCCACTATCTGCAGTGTTGTTACCCAAAAATCCTGATTTCTCCTTCGATATACAGAAAGAGAATATTTACCTTCTCATCATCGACACTTTCCACCACCGCAAGGTTAGGCACTCCAGCTATTAAGAATAGAACAACATATTAAACCGATTCAGTACATTTTGAAGATTGAAGTATGCGCAAAAAAAGTAAAGATGAAGATTTTCAAATGGCAACCAATTACTTAGCAAAGGCTTCACTTTGTTGCTCTGCAAATTCCCAATGAAGTGCCACTCTATATCTTCTGGAAGCTGCAGTTTCAAATCAGACGAAGAAACAAAATCTTCAATCCAATAGTACCAAAAGTTTCAATTGTTCCAAGGATTCGTAGAAGTTTCGCACAGAACAAACATGAGAACCTGAGGCGCCTTCTCAATGATCTCTTGCACATAGTTCTCTCCGAAAGACCTATGACCAGCGTCGTAGACTTGGCGAATCAGGGAGACTGGTTTCGTCTTGCTCACCGCTACGACCCGTATTCGATCCGATACGCGACCCGCTTTCTCCGCCGCCTGATTCACCCGCTGAAACACCGATCGCAAAGCCGCCGCAGACGCCACGCCATCCATCGCTGCCGCCGCCATAGAGGGTTCCGCCACGTGTTCTGTCCGCTCGTTATTGGGCTTCTCTTCGTTTTCGAGATCGTTCATCGAATGCTCTTCTGCTCACAGTTTTGTGGAAGAGAATGACGGAGAACGCAGCAGCTAAACAGAAACTGTGTCGCCTGAGTTATACGCTGCGTTTCGATTCAGCTTTCGTTTAGGCAAAAAAACATGTATGCTGTTTGTAGTGTTAGGGAGAGCAAAGTGTGACGTTTTGGAAAGAAGAAAAAAAACACCAAAATAAGATTATCCGCTGCCGCTATTCGAACCCGGAACGTCATTACCTCAATGGGCTATTAGTAGTTTAACTTGTGTGCTACAGCCTACAGCGACAAAAATTAAATATTTTTAAATTTAAACGGATAACTTTTAAAAAGATTTTTGGTGATTGCTCCGTTAACATATGATTTGGCAACCTTTTTGAAATTTAAGTATTTAACTATCAAATGTTCTAAAAGAAACCGTAGTCAACCATTAAGATAAGAAATTACCATTTTCCCACTAAAAGATAATTATACAAAAAATTGTTTAGACTTCCGGGTCTTACTATAAAATTGTAAATAGTTTTCACAAAAGGTTTCAAAAAAAGTAATACACTAATCCAGCTAAACAAAAAAAGGGTGATACAATACAAAAGAAGTTATGAATAAATGACTATAACACTGGAATTACATGGAAAAATGCCTATATCCAAGTTGCATATTCTATTACTGTTGTTTCCAAAGCAAAAACAAAACTATATCCCTGGTCGAGAGTTGAACCCGAAATTGCTTCAAAAGAAACTAAACCGGTATGCTACAATTGTCCTTATGATTGCTAGAATATCTTTTGATGTATTTTTGGTATAAGATATTTCCTTTGTTTTTGTTGATAAGAAAGAAAAAAAGATATTTGTTTTTGAACGAGTTCATCCATCCAAGACCAAGAGTCAAACCCTACGTACTCGAGTGCTCTTATAACGGCTTTAAGTTAGGTTCTGTCAACTTTGAACAGCGATTCATGTTCCATGTATTACAGCTGCAGTTGATAGATAAGTGTATAGAACAGATATAGCAATGACAATTGTAGTACGTAAAACATGATAAGTTTGAATTTTGTTATACCAAGTACAATGGATTGAGCACACGTTCTTTACGTATTTATCTTTGTGACTTAAATCGTAGGACAATAGTGACACATAGATATTAACTTTTGTTTGCAATCTCGTTAAGCAAAAAAGAAACACCGGTTCGTCTTTGATCTATTATTAAATCCTTTAGTTTCAATGAGAACCAGTCGTTCTAACGTTTGCAGTATCTTCAAACATGTTATCTACTATCTAGTGTCTTTTATACTCTCAGAGCTGATGTGCATTAATTTTTGTATTTCGGTGTTTTGACATGAATTTGCGCAAATAATTTTGGATCATATAGATCCATTTTGATTCTAGTTACACAACGCTATGAATTTCAAATCAATTAGTAATGAATAAATTGAATCATATTTTTTATATACCACTTAAAATCTTTATTCATTTTGGATGGGATATTATTTCCAATATCTTTTACCACTACCATTTTGATTTTTTATTTTATTTTATTTCAACATCACGTGTATCTGTGTGCGTACACACTTACGGTGCCAAGTACACGTACGAAAATATCTTTATCGTTAACTAGCTAGTTCCATATCTACGAAGCAAATAATAAATAACATATACAATAATACAATACAAAATTCCCGTGATACACGGTACATTGATCTTTCTCCAAACTTGACTAAAATCCGTTATAAAAGCATTCGATTAGGCATTGACTATTTGCTGAATAGCTTGATGAATACTTATATTTGTGTACCAACCAGATAATGTCAAAGATTTCGCTGAAGTTCACTGGTTAAATTTCTAGTTGAAATTTGGAACCCTGCTGCCGAAAATTATTTTGATTTATATATATTTGGTTAAATAATTTAAAGAAAATGCTCGCATATGGCTCCTCACGAGCCACGACACTATTTGCAGTTTTTGTTGCTAGATAGGAAAAAACAAAAACAGAATAAAAGAGAGTAATTATAAAAAGTGAAAAGAGATCCGTATCGGTATGGAGTGCGAACCAATACGCAGACATGTCGTCGTATCAATGATAGTGCAACTAGTGGATAGAGATGAGCTTATCCGATATCATCTTATATATCTATGGTGCTGATTATGCGAGTCTAATAGATGATAGGTTGTACCCTGAATCAATGATGACAAAATACACAAAATCGTTAAATCTTTTGAGTTCTTTAAAACTAACTGAGTGGCTGTCACAAAAAGGATAAAAACTCACTTGCAGACGCGATCGACATGTTACGATGCAAGTTGGAAATTTTTTCAGTGGAAAATAACTTTTCTCTAAAAATATAAGTTCTTTATTTTAATTTGTCCCCAGATGATAATTGAACTCGGATATCTCGCTATCAATAAAAAGAAAAAAGAACTCGGATATCTCAGGGTTTAGTTCTATGCCAATCTTTTTTTTTTTTTTAATAATGATCAAACGAATTTCATAATTTCCACTTTAGTTCTGCCTAATTTGGAAATTTATTGACTTTTTTTTTCTACGCGAGCCTAACTCGTTTACTCTTCGGAAAAACTAAAACCCTTCGAAATTGACCACACCACTAAAAGAGTCTTAAAAAGTCGGATATTTTTCTTACAAGACCTAGTTTTTCAAAATCTTATTCGTTGACCTATGCACCGTTCTCTCCTCTATAAATATCATTCACGTCCTTCGTTACTCTTCATCTAAATATATTCATACACATACAAACACACGCAAACACATTCCGATATACTAAAACTTTCTCTTGAAAGAAGACAAAAAAAAAGAATGAATACATTCAAGATATCCAATTTCGTTATGGTGCTCATAATGATCTCGCTAAGTGTTGAGGCTAATTACCTCAAGTACGTCGCCCCTTCTTCCCGACATGCTATGGTTCCTCCGGGAGCATATTCTTCACCGGCAGTGGGACAGGAGACGGCCATAAATTACCGACTCGGATATGGACCATATGGTGGGGTGATAGCCGCTACACGAGGAAAAAAAGGTGGGTTACGTATAAATGCATTGACATGTGACAAAAGTCCCAAAGTATGTCGTCTCAAAGGCAGTTCAGGTCGTGATTGTTGTCGTAAGAAGTGCGTGGATTTGAGAACCAACAAATTGAATTGTGGAAGATGTGGGAAAAGTTGTCAATACTCGGAGGTTTGTTGCAACGGATACTGTGTGAACCCGATGTTTGATAGGAGACATTGTGGAGGTTGCTTTAAGAAGTGTAACAAAGGGAGATCGTGTGCCTATGGGATGTGCAGCTATGCTTAAAGAAACAGTGGGGGTATAAAGGTTATTGAAAAAAGGGAGTTTAATTTGTTGGTTTTAATTGGATTACATTCATATTATATACAGTTTGAAATTAAAATATATAGCTAGCTTAATAAGGGTCGTCGAATTGTTATTAAAAATCTGAAAAGGTCTTGTAAAAGTTTGTCATTATTGTATTGTTTAATTTTTATCCCACGTGTAATGTGACAATCCAATGTAATAATACTAAATAAAGTTTCAATTTCTTATGTGTAGTTTCACTTACCAGTTATCATCAGGCATGCATTATTATTTTATAAAATTTTCATTTTTTTAATTGAGTTTATACAACAACAAAAAAGCATATGAATAGAGTTTTGAACAAAAAGCATATTATAATAGACTTACACAAAACTTAATATAAAATATGAGCACTTTGTTGTCGCACAAAAAAAGTAGATATTCCTTGATAATGTTTGAGCAGATGTCAGTGGAGCAATAATAAGGTGATATGATTTTGGAGAACTCCGACAGAATTCATCTCGTTATATATATTACCTACAATACTTTTGTTAAATATCACTCAGTCTTTACTCTAAATTATATTGTTATTGATTCTGTTCCATAATATATATCTTGAAATTGATTAAATAAGATAAATAAAAAAGGGAAAAAATAAATAAATAAACCATAATATTCGTTTTAATTTCTCAAAGAAAACGTGCTTTTCTCCACACACAAAAAAAAAAACACAGGGTAAAACAGATTTGTTCCCTAAAGTTTGTCTTTTTTATGATCATCATTACAGATCTCCTTAATTTTTTTCTTCTAATAATTTATAAAACAAAACTGATTCATGATCCAGGAAATGTTGTTAACAAAAAAATGATCTAAGACGGATGATGAGGCCATTTTGACAATTGCCGTCTCAAATAGTATTTTATATATAGTGATACTCATTTCAGCCGTATTTCAAACAAGTTGAAGTATTATTTTACCGACAAATTAAATCAGATAATTGGCCCCATGTTGTATGCATCGGCCGGTACCATGCATGTCAAGATGCAGTGTCTTTGTGTACCCAATGATATCATAGACTAATGACTATCTTTATAATGTTTTCTTATAAGTAAACTGATTATATAGATCCAAAACTTGTTATATATATATATATATTATTAAACATATAGAAAAACAAATTCCAAAGTCAAACTAGCCCATCGTCATCTCAAGATCGTGTAACCACGTCTATCTAGCTATAACTACGAACATTGATCAAACAAGTACTTTCTACAACAATGTACTTTCGATGGGATATCGTATTATAATCAAAATCACATCGCATATGTATGATATGATTGTCTTAAATGTAAATTGATCGTGTATGTATTAGTTTTGAAAGGTAGATACATTTATTGAGCTATATATAGTCATGTAATTTGTCTTTGTGAATAATCAAATCATATCGCATAAACTTCCTATAACAATTCAAATTCAAATGATAATATATGTTTCCGTTCATTAGTCAGCGCCATCCGTGTGTCCCACCTTCTCATCTTTCACACACAAACATAAAAATCAAATATACTTAAATGAAAATTTACAATATATACGTCTACAGATACGTATATTATCTAATCTAGCTCATATCTATGTCGTGTCTATATATATATATATATATATATTTGCACACCCAAAGTTCAACTCAAGCCTCACATCTTCAAGCAAATGGCTTCTTTTCTCATAACAATTTCACTTCTCTTTGCAGCTTTCTCTTCTACTCTTGTAGAGGCTGCTTATAGTAATGGTTATAGCAATAGTTACAACATTCCCAAACTATTACTAAATCCAATCGATTCCTGCTGGCGTAGAAGCCCTAGCTGGGCGTCTAACCGTCGTGCCCTAGCCGATTGCGCGGTAGGGTTCGGAAAATCCGCGGTTGGGGGCAAATACGGGTCGATCTATGTGGTTACAAATCCATCAGATGACCCTGAAAACCCTAGACCCGGAACCCTACGGCATGCAGTGATCCAGTCTAAACCGCTATGGATCACATTCGCACGTGACATGGTCATAGTGTTGCGAAACGAGCTAATCATGAACAGCTACAAGACGATCGACGGAAGAGGGGTAAAAGTGGAAATTGCGTACGGGCCATGCATAACGATCCAACATGTGAGTCATATCATTATACATGGGATAAGTATCCATGATTGTAAACCGGGTAAGTCGGGTCGGGTAAGGAGCAGCCCGACACATATTGGCAGCCGGAAAGGATCGGACGGTGACGCAATCGCCGTGTTTGATTCTTCACATATTTGGATTGACCATTGTTTCTTTTCTCGGTGTCAAGATGGTTTGATCGATGTGCTTCATGCTTCCACTGCCGTCACTATTTCAAATAACTACTTCACGCAGCATGATAAAGTAAGTATTGATATACTTTATTACCTATTTTTTTAAAAAAAATATCGAGTGTTTTGAATATTGATGATACTTTTTACATGTTATTATGAAGGTGATGTTACTCGGACATAATGACAATAATGTGAAAGATAGGAATATGAGAGTTACAATTGCGTTCAACCATTTTGGACCTGGTCTCATTGAGAGAATGCCTAGGTATGTAGATGTACATTATCGATTAGTTTAACTGGATTATAGATTATAAAATGCTGACGTGGATTTGGATGACGACGTGGCAGGGTGAGGAGAGGGTATGCGCATGTAGCAAACAATAGGTACGAGAAATGGCAAATGTATGCGATCGGAGGAAGTGCTGAGCCAACCATCTTTAGTGAAGGCAACTACTTCGTTGCTCCCGACGACCCTACCAAAAAACAGGTATCTTAATAATGTATTTATTATTACGGATTAATTTTGAGATGGAAGAATCAATTATTGCTAAAATGGTCTCGTCATGTACATGTTGTAACGCGCGTGTATATATATGTAGGTGACGAAGAGAATAGAGAGCGGATCTGATTGGAGGAGATGGAAATGGAGAACGTCAAAAGACGTTTTCAATAACGGAGCTTACTTCGTGCCGTCTGGCTACGGAACCGTCACGCCGTTGTACGGAAGAGCAGAGTGGTTTTCGGTGTCTCACGGTTCTCTTGTCCCTTCTCTTACTTCCTCTGCCGGTCCTCTCCGTTGCTACTACGGCAAGATTTGCTGATTGATGTTTATAAATTTACTGTTTTTGGTAACAACGAGACGTAATTCCTGTATCTGAGGTGTGTTTTGTGTATTCTTCTGTACCCGGTACGGAATTCGAATTAATTTTGGAGATTTATGGTTTTTTGTTTGTTTTGTTCAAGATTTATTTTATGAAGACTTGTATTATTATAAAGATTTGATGTTGACCATGCGAAGAGTGCTGTCTTGGCCTATACCAACTTGTTAGAGCACATATATATATATATGAATTTGATGATGGTTTAGAGGAAACAACTAGAATGAATATACTATTAAAATTTGGTTTAGTTTAAATAACTTGCATATTGTTAGTGATAATCTTAATTGAATAACATTCGATTTCAAATATGTGTAATTAATTAACACTTTGTGTAAAACTTCATGTCTCACTCGACTAACGTTAAATTGCAATTTAAATTATCAATGAAAATGTATAATCGAGTGATTCTTCTTAAATATCGAAAAAGATACAGTCCATGTATATAGGTTTACATAAGTTTTCTTGTTTGGTTAATAATACGCACCAAACTATCTACTATAATATATTCTGACCAAGAAAAACAAAATTAACTATTAGAAGAACGCAACAAAATTCTTGTATCCCAAACTTGTAGTATACACAAAATCAAAGATACAAAGAAAAAGACAAAAAAACGAAGAAAAGAAGAGTGTGGCCATGCTTTTCCGCGCCTTTAGAAAAAAATATGCCCTCGTTGGAGCTTTTAGAAAACTCTGTTCTCATTGCTTTGAACTCCACAAGTGACCGGAGCTTTGGCTCTCACTTTCCTCAAGTACCAAAACACTCCACCCGCAACGCCAATCGCCCCGGCCGCTGAAACTGCCGTCACCGTTCCTGAGAGAGAGAGAGGCAAGTTGTCTAGTTTAGATCAGGTCACAGCTTCCAAGTAGATATATTTATATCCAATTCTAATATAAAATAAGATCGATGTACTAAGATGACAAAAAAAAAAAATCATTCCGTAAATAATAATATTGCTTAATTACCTGCGACTGCTCCAATGCGTTTATGCTTTACGAAGTTAGGATCTGCCAAAAAAAGATTCAAGATATGTTCATTCATAATCATATACTTTCTACACTAAAATTTTATACTGAAACTCATAATTATGTCGAAAAAATCAAATAGGATTAATCACTATACCAAGTGTGCTTTTAGCGGAAATTTAAGAGACAAAACAATAATGAAGTGAGACATTAGAAAGAAAGTTTTAAGAGACAAAACAATAATGAAGAGAGACTTACCTTTACAATAAGTAGTAACGTTTCCTTGATCGCAAAGGCACAAGAATTTCTGCGTCCTCGTATCAAATCCACAAACCCCACCACCTTTAGTTGTTTCTTGGCATAAAAGGCACTTCATAGTCACCGGGAATTCGAAATCAATCCTAATCCCGTACTCCGGAAACTGATCGTAGGGTGCATTTCCCACACCTGTACTCCTCCAATACACGCTTGTATACGTCGCGCAGTTCTGTAGCATCAGCCTAAGAGACTGAGTTGCTTTTGGGTAATATGAGCAACAAGAAACCCTAGAACCCAAAGCTGATCCGCATTCGGGCAAATGCCTGCATAGATAGCTCGAGCTATCGCAGGACGAGTCACACCTATCAGGAAACCTCTCGCAGAATAGCGGTTTCGGCTCGACGATCACTTTCTCGGAATTGCAGTTGAAGAACAAGTAGTCGTTTTGATGGGAGACAGTGAAGTGTGTGCTTGAATCGATGCTGAAAGATCTGGTGGGTCGAAAATTGTCTCGATCTTGACAATTCCACATGAATGGATCGGAGACAAGAAGGTGAGGATCAGAGTAGCTTATGGATTTAACAGGGTATCTACCAGATGGTGTTCTAAGTTCGAGTTTGGTGTTGTTGTCGGAGCAAATGAGCATGTGCCTGTAATAAGGACTGCCACAACCGTCGTCGATGGCAAAGGGATAATTTATTGGAATGTCGCCGCAAGAAGATCTGCAGAGATGTGATTGGGATGATGTTGTTGATGACTGAAGAAGGATGCTCATGAAAATGGAGCAGAAGATAGAGTGGGAGTGAAGTGGAGACATTATTTAGAATTAAGGTTTTGGATATGAGTTTTGGGCAGAACTTAATTAAGAGATTATAGTTTGGTGGTGTGAAGTGTTGAGTAAGTTTGGAATGTCTTGTTAAGGAGTTTAAGAATCAACCTTGTCATGTGCTTTGTAATAGTTATTTTAGGTTTCTGTCTCTCTTTTTAAGTTTTTGTTTTTTCTTTTAGTATAAAGTACTCCCAAGTCCCAAGACTATCTGTCGATGGTAGATAACTAGATATTTTATATGGGATGCTAGTTGACAAAAAAAAAAAAAACTAGATTATATATTGACCCATAATATAAAGAAGATACAAGTTGGCACATAGACCCATAATAATTATCATACAAATTTGCGAGAAAAAGTAGCAAAAAACGTTTTAAATCTTGAGCTGTACATGTCTAGACAAGCCGCCGGGTATTGGAACACACATGAGCACCAGAGCTCCGATCAAGATCATAGCATAAAGAATTCTCTATTCTCTATCAAATTTCTTTAGATTCTTTCATTCATAATTTTCAGAATAGTTCAGGTTATTTTTACAGAGAATATTAACTGTATATACACAAGTTTTTTTTTTTTTACCTTTTCCATATACGTAAGGATAGTTATCTCAAACCGCATGTGTTTTGAAGTATTTGGAATTCTATCTTCAGAGACCATTGTCTAAGAAACTTGAACCGTTTCACAGTGATTCTGTGCCTTTATTTGGCTACCGAAGGAGATCATATCTAGTTCTCTCGGGACTTCTTGGTGCATTTTCCTGGAGCTTGATGGCTGGTTTTGTCGACAGTAAATACAGTGCTGCTTCTTGTATACTTCTCGGTTCCCTTTCAGTCGTCTTTTCTGATGTTGTAAGTTTTCTAACCCATTAAGTGGTTTAGTTGACTCTGGTTAAGGTCTCTCGAGTGAGTTGCAAAACAGAGATTGAATTGTTGGGTGGTGAACTTTTAATAGGTAGTAGAGTCAATGGTCGTGGAATGAGCTCGTGGTGAGTCACAAAGCGTGTCGGGATCTCTGCAGTCTTTATGCTGGGGATCTTCAGTTTTTGGTGGAATTGTGAGCTCCAGCTTTTGGTGTAAATTTTAGTTTTTTTTTTTAAATACCCAACTAAAGATCCAACCAATGGAAGAGCAAAAAGTTTAAATCAAATACAAAGGTTCTTAGAAAAAAAAGGAAACAAAATTTATATTAAAAAATGTTTAATAACCCCATATAGATTTCTACCAATGAACATGCTTTAATAGGATTCAAATCCAACGGGACGAGGAACCGACCAGGAGCATCTTCCGGGTGGCTCGTAATTAAAAAAGGTATACCTCAGATGCGCAGCCCTCGTACAATTTCGAATTAATCTAACTAATGTTGCTGTAGTAGAGAAAAAGTATAATTAAAAAAACCGACAAAAGTAAGCATAATTAATATCGACTCGCTTTGTACAAGGAACATGTTAGTTTTAGTTTTAAAGTTCAAATATATTGTTATTTTTCACTTTACACCAAATTGAATCGATAACTATTGTACAAGTTGTTTTAAAGTAACAAATAAATGTAACAAAACAAAGACTATCACTCAAATCATTTAAAATAATTCTTAAAAACATTTTAAAACCAAGAATTCCTTGGCTTTCCTATAAATAGATATAGAAGCTCACTGTGTATACTCAAAACACACCAACCACAAAAAACAAAAAAATGAAAACCTCAATCACATTAGCTCTCTGCTTCACTGTCTCCATTTTCATCTCGATCGGAGCACATGCTAAAGTTCCCGTAGAAGAGCAATTCCGAGTGGTAAACGAAGGAGGCTACACCGACTACAGTCCGATCGAATACAATGCCGACGTACGTGGCTTTCAACCATTCAACGACAACTTCCGTCTCTGTTTCTACAACACAACTCCAAACGCATACACTCTTGCTCTCAGAATCGGCAACAGAGCCCAGGAATCAACTCTCCGGTGGGTCTGGGAAGCAAACAGAGACTCGCCGGTCAAAGAAGACGCGACGTTGACCTTCGGAGAAGACGGAAACCTCGTACTCGCCGAAGCCGATGGTCGCCTTGTCTGGCAAACCAACACCGCTAACAGAAACGCCGTGGGGATCAAAATCTTGGAGAATGGCAATATGGTAATATACGATTCCAACGGGATGTTCTTATGGCAAAGCTTCGACTCTCCCACCGATACACTTCTCGTCGGACAGTCTTTGAAAGCCAACGGAGGGAACAAGCTCGTAAGTCGGCGGTCTCCATCGGTCGACACAAACGGACCGTACAGTCTCGTGATGGAAGCCAGGAAGCTAGTTTTGTACTACACGACAAGCAAAACGCCGAAACCAATCGCTTATTATCAATACGAGTTCTTCACCGAGATAACTCAACTACAGTCAATGACGTTCCAAGCCGTGGAGGATTCGGACACCACGTGGGGTCTACACATGGAAGGTGTCGACTCTGGTTCTCAATTCAACGTCTCCACGTTTCTCTCTCGGCCTAAACACAACGCGACGTTGAGTTTTCTTCGGCTAGAATCTGATGGAAACATCAGGGTTTGGAGTTACAGTACCTCAGCGACTTCGACGGCTTGGGACGTAACGTACACGGCGTTTACTAACGGTGATACTGACGGTAACGACGAGTGTAGAATCGCTGAGCACTGTGGTGAGTTTGGTTTGTGTAAGAAAGGACAGTGTAACGCTTGCCCTAGCGACAAAGGGCTTCTTGGTTGGGACGAGGCCACTTGTAAGACTCCGAGTCTGACCAGTTGCGATCCCAAGACGTTTCATTATTTCAAGATCGAAGGAGCTGACAGTTTTATGACTAAGTATAACGGAGGCTCGTCGGCGACGGAGAAAGCGTGTGGGGAAAAGTGTACGAGAGATTGTAAGTGTTTAGGGTTTTTCTACAATAGGAAGAGTTCCAAGTGTTGGTTGGGTTATGAGCTCAAGACATTGACTAGAACCGGAGATTCTTCGCTCGTTGCTTACGTCAAGGCTCCTAATGTTGAAAAAATCTCGGCTCTTGCCCTCTGAAGTACTGTCGACTAGCTACTTGTGTGGTCAAAAACGAATAATAAGCCCACGTCGTCATTTTTCTTTAAAATTATTGCTATTGGTTTATCTTGTTTTTAAATTCCGTGTTGATTCTTGAATAAAGTTGAAGTTTTCATATATCAAGTTCAGATTTTTTAACTAAATTAGTTACCGTAAACTTAGTGGACCCCATTCCTAAGGCGAAATATTATTAGATGATACATATATTGTTCGTAATTGTCTTTTTTTTTTCTTTTCTTTTTAGAATTTACCGAATTCATACATATCAAAATACTGTTGGGAATATGATATCACCAAATATATAGGGAAGATCATAAGGGATCTTTTTAATATATATATAGCCTGTTTTGAATAATTAGCTTGATATCACCGGATTAGTGATCAACCAGTAATCGACAACTCCCGAGATGGTTGATCGTGTGCAAAAGGTATTCAAACGTACATGTACTATTTTATTGATCTTAACTACTCACTAAATTTATCATTAGTTTGATTTCTGATCGTAATTAACTCTTCTGAATTTCCCTTTATTTATATTTTGTTGGTCAACGAATTTCCTTGTATTTTCCAGTTGACGGATTTGAAGAAATTGACTATCGAGAATCAAAAGCTTATTGAAGAAACGCTTACACTAGCGTGGAAGAATCGAACTTCACTTGAGATTAGCGCCGAAGTATATGTACGGTAATTAATTACGCACTGTAGTTGGAAAATTATGAATTTAAAATTTCGTGATCTTACGCAAATATTTGCCTTTAAGTGGACGAAATTACAAGTGGAGAATCAGAAGCTTATTGAAGAAGTGCTTACACTGACGAGGAAGAATAACGCTGCACTTGAGATACAATCCGAATTGTATAAAAAGGTAAATGAGTTACGCATAAAGTAGATCAATAGGAATATATATGATACAAGTGAATCTAAATATTTTGATATATTATTAGGTGCTAGAGGATGCCAATTATAAGTCCGAAGAAATATCCATGAAGAATCCGAAAAAGGTTTAAGAAAGTTAAATCAGAAGAACATCGGAGAGAGTCATGACTTATTATATTATGATTACATATATACGTAAGGCGTGTTGTTGTCAATGAGTGGAAATACTTGCGAAATAGTAGGCGAGTATCTTGAGACTAGAGTGATTGATTTATTTATCATTTTTGTTTTTTTGCTAACAAGAAAATTCCGATTTTTTTGGATCGGTATTTTCCTTCGTCTCGGGACCAGTCTGTAACAATTACCTGAAACAAGGCGTCAAAACTCAAAAGCCCCTGCAAAAACTTCGATCTTGGGAGCAAAGCGCAACCCTCTTTTCGACAGTGTAAAACAAAATTTGGTTACATGTTTTTGAGATATCAAGAGTCGTCGAGTATCCATATATATTATTTTTAAAAAGTTCCCTTAGAAGTGATATAAATACTAGTACATGCACGTACTCTAACTTGTACGTCAGTGCGTGTATATATGCCGTCAACAGAAAAATCTATGAATAACATTTACTAATACAATTACCTTAACTACATGGATATATATTTATTTATCATAAGAAAATCTTTAGAATTAATAATAAAAAGTTGGTACTCTTTAATAATAAAATATGCCATATTGTATACAAAAAAGCCTACATCGTTTATTAACAAAATAGTTTAAAACATTAAAACTAAACCCTAATACACTGAACATAAATCCCGAAATAGCGAAGTTCCTAAATCTTTAAAGAATTAACATAAAAATATAGGACCTTCCGAGAAAATCCAATGTGTTAATTAATGTTAAGAGATGCGTGGAATAATGGGTCGGTTAAGAACCTATAAATAGAAGAGAGCCGCACTGATGTCAACGCAATAGAGACTTCACAAGAAGAGTGACAGACTCTCCCTCTCTCTCTAAACCCTCACTCTCTCGCTCCTAAAATCATCTCTTCGATCTCAGATTCTTCTTCTTTTTGGCATTGTACTTGTGAGGTCTGAATCTTGAGTCTTGATTTGTCTTCTTCGGATATCTTAAAACTGTATTATTCATAACCGCTATTCGACTCCTCTATCGAAGATGTCAAGTTACGGTGGAAATGGCGGTGATCAGGACTCAGATGATAAACGAAACAAAGTTGACGGCGGCGGGAAAGAAACAGTTAGTCTACTGGTGAGCCCCGCCGTTCCCGTTAAGCAAGAGGATGATCACACGGACGTAAATGTGAGTATGTAATGGATTTCAACCGTATAATATAGCACATTTCTCTTTTCTTTTATCACATAGTTAGATTTAAGATAATGTTTTTTTTAAAGTCATTTAACGATTTGATTTAGTTATTAACTGTTTTAATATATTTGATCAATCTTGATCAACCTCTGATCGACAAATCAGAAGATCGTGTAGCTGAGCTTATTAACAAATTTCTTGATCGTAATTATTAGTTAGACTTCGTTATCGTAACTCTTTTGCATAACATATGTTTTTTTAATTGTATATTTCTTTTTTTTTTAATTGTATATTTCAGTTGGCGGATTTGAAGAAAATGACGCTGGAGAATCAAAAGCTGCTTGAAGAAACAACTAATCTCGCGCGGACAAATCAAACTTTATTTGAGATTAGCGCCCAACACCTTGTACGCGTCAAATAGATAATTATGCTACAAGCACACAATTTTTTGTATTTATTATGGGAATTTGTTTTTTCTTGATGGTACGTACGTGACTAATTTGTCTATTTGATTTTTTAGTTGGCGAAATGACATGCGGACAATCAAATGCTTGTTGAAGAAGTGCTTACACAGGCGAAGAAGAATAACACTGCACTTGCAATGCAATCCGAATTATATGAAAAGGTAATCAATTACGCACAAAGTGTCAAACTAGTCTAACTAAATATTTCTGTATATTTGGACACTATAGTGAATTGGATTATTATTTTTTTATATACTATTAGATACTTGAGGCGAGCAAATCCGTCGGTACAGACTGCGAAATGGCGACTTTTCCATGTACCAAAGCTAAATCGGGTGAGAAGAGGTTACTTGAGAAGGAAGAAATCTCGGAGACGGAGACGAGAAAGGTGCAGAAATTGAATTCGGAAGAAGATTAATCCTGTGAGGATCGCAGAGAGTAGTGTGACGTTGACGTATGTTTAATATGAATACCTACGTAAAACAACATAATGTTCATGTCCGCCATGTATATAATACGTAGACAAGTACATAATTTGTTTCGGATATTGGGTTTCAAAAGGCCCAATATTAACATTACATTGATCTCTTTGTTCATGTGAAATATAGTGAAGCTATTTTTTTTTCTAATTTGGGCTTTAGAGCAGATCATAGCAAGGTGGATCTTTAACATCGAAACCGTTTTCAATTTGAGTAAATCCCAATCAACGGTTAATATTTTAGATGAGCACGTTGTCCCACTCTATGTTCGTAAACACCTGATTGTTTTCGCTAAATTTAAAGCTTTGATTCGTTACGCCTTCCTATCCATTCGTCAACGATAAAATCTCACCGTTCATTGTAGCTTATCCAACGGCCAATATAGAAAGATTGTTTTACACGAAATATCTCTCTTTTTCTTTTGACGCGATTATACACAGTGGGTCCCGCTGTAATTGTCATTTAGGAGACAGCTCGGTTAATTTAGCAAGTCCTTTCGTCACAGTCATCTTTCTTCGATAAATGCAACTATCTCTCTCTTCGTTTTCTTCGTAATACTTCCTCATTTCTCTGAGAATTTGGTACCTAGCTTCGGTGAGTTCTCCTTTGAAATCCATCGATTCTCTTCTATTATGGTTGATCTGCTTAATCTCAAGTCTTCGATTCTCGCCTGCTTATACTTCTCTCCTGTATTTGTTGTCCTTTGTACTCGCTGATTTTTTTTTCATATATCGTTTTTGAGCGGTTAGGTAAGGGTTTTGCTGCCGATTTCCATGTCTTTCGATGTGAATCTGAGTTGTATTCTTCATGCATGATCTGATTATTAGATTATTTTCCATGATTCGTTTCTCGCTCGTGGTTCAATTTCGTTTTGACTAGTCGTTGTGCTCCATCAGTGAGAAAGCTTTTGAGTTAGTTCGAATCATGCAATCGTACTCTTCAATTGATATATTCTCGATAATAGTTCGAGTGGTGACCTCGATCGCCTGATCGATTGTTAATTTGTTACGATCTTGAGTGTCTTATGAATCGTTCTGGTTTATGCGAGTCTTATTGTAATTGGGATTGTTTCCTTTGTATAACTCTTGAATATATTTTCCTTTTTGAAATGGTTTAAGGTTATAGGTAAGGGTTTTGTTGTAATCTGGGTATTTGCTTTCTGATTTTGTTCTTAGCAATATTGCATATGATGAGTAAGGTAGTTGTGAAAATGAAAGGAATTGCAATTTCTGTATAGCGTACAACAAGAAAATGGTGATTTCAAGGTTTTATCGTTTTTCCTTTGCACGAAAAGGTCTTTTTATCATTTGCAAAGTCAGGAGAGTTTTTGTTTTATTTATTTCTTCCACGCTAGTGCTTGGTGGCTGTTTGAGAGAGATCAAGTAAGATAATAATTGGTGCAATTTAATGCGTGTTGCCTTGTCCATCGTTATCTGGTTGAAGAGGACCAAGTAAAAGTGTACCTTAATCTATTCTTAGTCACTTATCTGATGTTAAAGTATTCAATATAAACAGTTTCTTAAATAATATTTTAGTTGACTTGTATGGTATTGTACGTCATCTGATTTTCAGCATGGTCGTCTTATTCTGACTTCACTTGCTTTGTTGTCAATGAATAGGTGAAAATGGGAATATACTCTAGGACGGTTGCTGTGTCACTCATTGTGTCGTTCCTGCTGTTTTTGTCTGCCTCTTCTGAGCGCAGTGATGGGACCTTCAGAGTTGGCCTGAAAAAACTAAAGTTGGATCCCAAAAACCGCCTTGCAGCACGTGTTGCTTCCAAGCAAGAAAAGCCCCTGAGAGCTTACGGTCTTGGAGATTCCGGAGATGCTGACATTGTCACGCTGAAGAATTACTTAGATGCTCAGTACTATGGTGAGATCGCTATCGGTACTCCACCTCAGAAGTTCACCGTGGTTTTTGACACTGGAAGCTCTAACCTCTGGGTGCCATCATCAAAATGCTATTTCTCAGTAAGCAACATTTGGTCTATATTTGATAGCTGTGGTCGATAAACTTTTGAGAATATAAATTAATGAGTTCTGTCTGTTGTGTAGATTGCTTGCCTTCTCCATCCCAAATACAAGTCATCACGTTCAAGCACATATGAGAAGAATGGTTTGTTCTCTGTCTTTTTAAATCGTTCTGAATTAGTTATGCCGTTTTTAATAGCTTTTTGTGTTCTGAAACTGAAAGTGTAGAATGTGCTTTTAATGATGCCTGCTTGCTTAGCAGTTTGAGTTTCCAGTAGTTAGATACTTAACGGTTCACTGGCAATTGAATTTAGCCTATAGCTTTAATTTAATGTGCAAAGTATCTTTGTTAAGAGATGCAACATCACTGCTGATGTGAGCTGTGAAGTTATAACTAAACTAACTTGCTCGTCTTTGATGCAGGTAAATCCGCCGCCATTCATTATGGAACTGGGGCAATTGCTGGGTTTTTCAGTAACGATGCTGTCACTGTTGGCGATTTAGTTGTCAAGGATCAGGTAAACTATCTATCCTACTTTACTCAACACTCTTACCACGCAATCATGCTACATCGTTGACCTTCCTTCTTATTATTGTCTATCTTATCAGGAGTTTATCGAGGCAACCAAGGAGCCTGGTATAACATTTGTTTTAGCCAAATTTGATGGTATCCTTGGTCTTGGATTCCAAGAGATCTCTGTTGGAAATGCCGCTCCTGTTTGGTATGCCTGCACCTTTCTTCTCTTGATTTGTGTTAGTTTACTTCAATCCTGT